CCCCCCTGCCTACTTCGTATATAAGCAGCACCTTCCACATCCTATCACCACAGCTACTGCTCTCCGCAGCTATTCAACTGCTCTGAAGATGGAGGCGCTACGTTCCTCCGAAACGTCGGCCAAAACGAAGAATACACGGTGCCTAAACCCAGAAGACAACTTTCTTCATTGTCATCGCCGTGAAAACCTTAAAACTTACATAGACTTCTAGGAAGTTCTGGGCGTAAATGGGAATATAATGTTGTAATAATATCTTAAAAAAAAAAGGATTTTAAGATTAGAAATAGATTCATCTGGCTTAGGACCGGTCCCAGTAACTGGGTTTTGTCAATACGCTAATGAGAATTTGGGTTATATAAAATTCAGGTTTCTAATTTTGTGATATTTTAGGTTCTGTCATTGGTGTATATGAAAAATATTTTCTTCTGGGATATGCTTCCGCATAGCCTTATACAGAGTGTCCCAAGAGGAAAGTTCAATATTCTGGGAGGTCAAAGTATCGGCCATTCTAAATAAACTAGTGTATATGTACATGTGTCCTATTCCGAACCGTTTCCGAGATACAGCTATTTCACTGTACAGTTCCAAAGTTGTTGATAAGAAAGAGATATTACGTACTGTTTCTAATACCGGTATTTATTGCTGAAGTGAAAAAGTTGGTAAGTTTAACTTCAATGCACTTTGCAACTCGTGTGAGGACATGGCGTGTTGCTCGTCTGTACAGTGTACAGTGTACTGTACAGTGTAATAGCTCTATCTCGGTGCCAGTCGTGTGAGGACATGGCGTATTGCTCGTCTGTACAGTGTACAGTGTACTGTACAGTGTAATAGCTCTATCTCGGTGCCAGTCGTGTGAGGACATGGCGTATTGCTCGTCTGTACAGTGTACAGTGTACTGTACAGTGTAATAGCTCTATCTCGGTGCCAGTCGTGTGAGGACATGGCGTATTGCTCGTCTGTACAGTGTACAGTGTACTGTACAGTGTAATAGCTCTATCTCGGTGCCAGTCGTGTGAGGACATGGCGTATTGCTCGTCTGTACAGTGTACAGTGTACTGTACAGTGTAATAGCTCTATCTCGGTGCCAGTCGTGTGAGGACATGGCGTATTGCTCGTCTGTACAGTGTACAGTGTACTGTACAGTGTAATAGCTCTATCTCGGTGCCAGTCGTGTGAGGACATGGCGTATTGCTCGTCTGTACAGTGTACAGTGTACTGTACAGTGTAATAGCTCTATCTCGGTGCCAGTCGTGTGAGGACATGGCGTATTGCTCGTCTGTACAGTGTACAGTGTACTGTACAGTGTAATAGCTCTATCTCGGTGCCAGTCGTGTGAGGACATGGCGTATTGCTCGTCTGTACAGTGTACAGTGTACTGTACAGTGTAATAGCTCTATCTCGGTGCCAGTCGTGTGAGGACATGGCGTATTGCTCGTCTGTACAGTGTACAGTGTACTGTACAGTGTAATAGCTCTATCTCGGTGCCAGTCGTGTGAGGACATGGCGTATTGCTCGTCTGTACAGTGTACAGTGTACTGTACAGTGTAATAGCTCTATCTCGGTGCCAGTCGTGTGAGGACATGGCGTATTGCTCGTCTGTACAGTGTACAGTGTACTGTACAGTGTAATAGCTCTATCTCGGTGCCAGTCGTGTGAGGACATGGCGTATTGCTCGTCTGTACAGTGTACAGTGTACTGTACAGTGTAATAGCTCTATCTCGGTGCCAGTCGTGTGAGGACATGGCGTATTGCTCGTCTGTACAGTGTACAGTGTACTGTACAGTGAAATAGCTCTATCTCAGTGCAACTCGTGTGAGGATATGGCGTGTTGCTCGTCTGTACGGTGTACTGCACAGTGTAATAGCTCTATCTCGGTGCAACTCGTGCGAGGACATGGCGTGTTGCTTGTCTGTGCAGTGTACAGTGTACTGTACAGTGAAATAGCTCTATCTCGGTGCAACTCGTGTGAGGACATGGCGTGTTGCTTGTCTGTGCAGTGTACAGTACAGTGAAATAGCTCTATCTCGGTGCAACTTGTGTGAGGACATGGCGTGTTGCTCGTCTGTACAGTGTACTGCACAGTGTAATAGCTCTATCTCGGTGCAACTCGTGTGAGGACATGGTGTGTTGCTCGTCTGTACGGTGAAATAGCTCCATCTCGGAAACCGTTCGAAATAGGACACGTGTACAATTTTGTGTAGAATGAACGATACTCTGACTTCCAAGAATATTGGACTTTCCTCTTGGGACACCCTGTAGAAGTATATACTAGCGTCTTTTGAGGAACATGTTGCCTCCATCTTCAGGGTATAAATTATTTTCTGACTGGTTATTAACGTTCCCGAGCAGATGCCACAATCTAGAAGAGAGTAATGCAAATGGTGGTCGCATTGAAAGCCTCAAGACTCAAGTGTGCAAGTGCGCCGATCATTTTAAATTTTAATTTAATTTCTTTCGCCACAGATGAGCGCCCTCAGTTCGGCAGGCCGTCCTTGTTAATGTAATTCCGTGAGGAGCTGTTCCCTCCGCAAGACCAGCTGCAAAGGTAAGAGATAATGCCTTATGTTTCATATTTATGAAGGCCGTTGAATCTTTCAGGACNGATTTAGATCAAGTCAGTAGTATATATATATATATATAACATCTTCTCTGACGAGAAGATGGATCTGTCGTTTACAATTGCTGCTGGTCCTCGCCAGCGCAGTCATTCTCAGGTCCGAGTCCCACGTGACTCATGTTCACATTTTACTATTTCAGATTCAAGACTCCCCCAACCTTGGAGGGCCAGGTCACCTTATTTATATCCCCCAGTGACAGGGTGGCCCAGTTATACACCTGCGCACTAGCAGTAAGTAACTGCGGCAGAGGATACACACTCACCAATAGAAGACTTGTTGGACGCGGTGTTTTCTATGTAATCCGTGCCGAGACCAAACCTCAGTTGGTAGTTAAAGGAAAGTAGGTCATTACTCCTCCACAGTACTTCTTGTTTCATGTCTCACACTTGAAATTAAATGTTGAGTTCAGACATGTCACGTGCCTTATACATCACACACAAAAATACACGTATAACGTCCCTGGGCATAAATAAGCACAGCATCATGAAGACGCGTGGAGGAGTGGAAGTATATATCCGCATATTCTTAAGCTCGGTGATAGATGAATATTAATGATTAGCATCAGGCTTCTGCCGCCTACGAGTCCTCGGTCTACGAGTAGAAGACGTGAAAAAGAGAAAATCTCTTGCCCTTGTTCAAAATTGAGCCCCAATTCCGTGGCTGTCCACAGTAGTAGTTGCCTGATAACGGCTTCTAACAATGGCTATTCCTCTGCTTCCGGGCTCAAGTCCTCTCTGAGCAGCAACTCCCTTCCAACTTAATTATTCTTGCTTCAGTTGTCCTCCTTGTAACACATTTGAACTGACCGATTAGAAAACACCGTATCCAAAATACCCATATTTTTGCATGTGTATCCGTTCCCACAGGAACGTGTTTACCGAACCGTTGCCTACAAACGGCTCTACACACTACAATATTTGTAGGGATTTGACGCCTGCACGATTTCCGGAAAAGTACATCTGCTTGAAACTTTGATGATGATGATGATGATGATGATGATGATGATGATGAAGAGATCATGTAGAGGGCGACACAAGCACAGAATATATCTCTGAAGACTGCGGTCCTCTGGGGTGTAACGCCATGTAGTTAGAATGAAATCCGACGTTTCAGAGGAACGTATCGCCTCTGTTTTCAATGACGACACAAAAGCTAAGGCAGAAACCGACAGAAGCTGGCGATATGTTCCTCTGAAATGCCGGCCTGTCTTGTGTCACAACCCAGCGCCGCAAGAACTTGTGACGCAACAGCGACTGTACCTGTCACCGCGTCTGTCCAGTGGCGCTGTGTGTCCCTCAAGTGCACTCCTCGGACGCGCTGCTTCTGCTAACGCCCCGCCCAAGTGTCTGAGGTCTGCTGAAAGCCGCCACTCGGCGTGTTCAGAAGAGCTGTCCTGTGGCTACGTCAAGTGTCTAGAAAACAGGCGACACAGAACAGTGAAACTCGTTTATGGAAACCTTCTGGAACGCTTATTTCCTCATGTTTTCCGGACTGTCATGCGATCAGCCATATCAACACAGTTTTCCTTCCGTTTCCTCTGTCTTCAAGCAACTGCTGAGATGTTTTCCGATTTCCAAGTCCGTATTGCGTGCTTCTTAGGCAACCCTCCGCGTACACATTCATAAAAATTAAATCCCCTTTGTTGTAAAGGTCACCAAATTATCTTTTCCAGATTACGCAATTCTCCATTAATTCAGAAAGTCTAAATTTTGAGGGCCCTGTCTGAAGCCAATGCGTTTAACCATCATAAAATCTTTACGTCCACAATGCCCTTATCAGAAGGACAAGCGAGTGGAGCCTGAGAACCTTATAAAAGAACGATGATCTTTCTCTCCCCCCCCCCAACAAATAAGTGTAACTCTTCTCCCATGACTTTTCCTTTCCCTTTCTCTTCTACTATTCTTTGTTACCTCTCTTTCATCGGCAGAGCCTCAGGTGAGGTTCAGTACAGGTCACGGTCCTGCTGTACTTGTCTTGAATTAAGCACCAAGACATGAAGACTAATGGGGAGTGGAGGTATAACTCCACGCATTCTTAGCCTCATCACTGGATGGAGGTGAGTTGTCAGCTTCACGCTCTTGGTACTCTACCTCCGGTAGAAATACCGCTTTCACGTCGAGGGTCAGAGGCCCGTCTGAGTGCTGTGAGGAACAGAAGAATCTCTTGCGATGCGAGGAGTTGAACCTCGATTCCTTGATCGTCCAGCCCGTATCCTGGTATCTATACAAACAGAGCACAGTGAATGAAGTGAAGAAGCTTTGCATTTTAAGAAATTCTGTGGAAAGAATTTGATCGAAAGAAGGAAGGAGTTACGAGAAGCCGGCGGAAATAGCAGACGAAGAGCTCTATCATTTATACTCCTCGTATTATATCATTAACTACATGGCTTTAGTCCGCATGCGCCGCTTGTCGGCGAAGTTAGTGCCAACTTCAGCGGATAGAAGGTGTTGCGTGGTCAGGGCAACGGATCCCCACGGCCGTTAATCACGGTTTTCTAGACCGGAGCCGCTATTTCCTTATAAAATAGCTCCTCAGTTATCCTCACGAAGCTGAGTGGATCCCGTTCCAGACCTACTACTTCTCAGAAAATCTGGTAGTGCCGGGATCTGTAGCCAGGAACTCTGACCATTAGACCGCAGAAGTGGTCCGTATTATATCATTAGGGTGATAAAATGAAGGAGATTGGGAGGGCGTGGCAAGTAGCACGCATGGAAGAATATAGAAATGCGTGTAAAGTTTTCATGAGGAAACCTGGAAGAAGGCAACTAGTTTGAGGTGTGCAAGGTGCTTGGTACGTGTTGATCAAAACAGGGAACAGTAGCGGGCTGTTCTGAAAACTGCAATCAACTTACGGCCCTCGTAAAATTGTGGGAAATTTTTCCGTAAAATTTGGCAACAACGTGCTTGTCGCGATGGATTCAGCTTCGTGGAGTTCGTTAATTTCACTAATTCTAATATTGGATCTACAGAAGTTATCGATAGTCGAACTCCGATCAATTTCAATAGTGATAGAATATCTCGAATGCCACTATATACGACAGTCATTGTGATAGAAGTGATGGGTTTGAGTCCCGACAACGGCGACTTCCATTTGTTATATTACATCCTGTAACTGGTGGCTCTGTCCAGTAGCCTGCTGTGTGTGTATGTGCGTGTGCGTGCGAGGAAAGCGCTAGACATCATCTCCCGGAGACGTGACCCGCGTCCCAACCTCCTTTACCCTCCAATCTCCCGTACAAGGGATCCATATTAATGCACTAAACAATCCATGCATATAATTTCATTAACCGAACAGACAAGTGGTTCACTTACATAGGATCAAGGATTTACAGCATGCCACCTAACGTCCGTGTCCAGGTGTTAATGCTCTAGGGCCCTCATGAGGTTTCAGAATCAATTCTCGGATCAGAGGTTGACTCATATTACTTTTTCGTTGTTCTTCTCAGGTTCTCCAGGAAAATCGTGAGATAATGTCGGGTCATGATTTGACTAACTGTGTGGAGAAGAGGTCTACAAAAACTGATAGTCGCCCAGCTAGACTGTAGATATCCTTCTCGTTATGTTCATTACAGCGTTCACAAATTCCACGAATTGCCTTTTCCTTTAGCGAGATGAATCCAATCCTCACCTTCATGTCCTATCTCGGAAACCGTTCGGAATAGGAAACGGGTACATATACCGTTTTTGCTTAGAATGACCGATACTGTGACCTCCTAGAATCTTGACCTTATTTCCTGTGACATCTTGTACAGAGGTTCACCGTTAACCTGCTCGGATTTCTCTTGTAAAATGATCGGCATTATCACATTAATTTTGAACAGACTTCACTTGGCACTGCGTTGGAAGGCCCACCCTCCTGTGTTTATTTGAAGTGAGTGTACTGTAGTGATTCGATGGATCGAAGTGAGACCAGCTGAGCGCACGTTATAACATTTGCACGAAGCTGTGAATAGTTTAGTAACAATGTGTAACGGTTGGTAACTCTGGAATGGCCACTGTACCAAGACATTCCACCAGTCACCCCAACACCTCCTCCTTCACTATATCGACTTCATTTGCGGGGGAGAACCCATCGCTAGATGTAAGGGATGTCGGAGAAGGGTGAAAATAACACCTTCCCCTTTCCTCTTGCTGTGTCAGCATTCAGCATATTCCCTTGTACAGGCCTCATCATGTGTTCAGCACCAGAATCCTCCGAGGTACGTGCTGTGGGGTCGAGAGTACATCATCGTCACGTAGTCACGTAGACCGTTGCGTCACCATTCTGTTATCAACGTACTTCTGGTACTCGTAAGCCACTGGGAAATTCAAGCATACTTACAGGGGAATTTTATTTCGCAATGTTGCCTACACGAGATATGACGTAACTTCATTCTTAGAGCAGAACTTGTTTTATGTTAGCTTTATTGCTGTTTTGCAAACAAAATATTTTAGTTCGTCCTGGCGTGCCCTGTCCTGTATATATGAGTGTCTCTGTTCTAAACTCTAAAGTACAAGATAAAGTTAAAGCTTTTTTTTTTTCTCTTTAGATTATCGCACCACAAAATCATACAGTCCGTGGAGGTATAGCTCCATGTATTTTAATCTCGGTGCTAGGTGGAGCTTCACAGCCCACCATTATGAGCGGGTACACATTTCATAAGAAACTGAGTGACCACTCAGACTGGGCGCGGTGGTCATGCCTGGAATCAGACCCCTTTCCTGGGACATCCAACCGTAGCCCTGTCATGCCGACTGAGCTCTCGTGGCGAGAAGACGAGGGAGTAAGAGGAAGGAGGGGGGAAGGGGTGGAAAGAGAGGAGGGTAAGAAGTAGGAAGACCTGATAAATAAAAGGAGTAAATAGAAAATGACTGCAAAAGATGAAGAGGGAATTATGAGAACATGAAACTGAAGAGAGAAATAAAAATACAAAATCCTTGTTAGTAT